TTATTTATTCCATTAGCACGGAATATAGCACAATATTATTTAAATTTTTTATCGTTTTACATTATTAACTGATTTGTTATTGAATTAAAGTAAAACGAACGAATTTATCTGCCAACCCAATCGTAATATCATCGGGAATTTTAATATTATTAGATAAAACAATGTTTACCGATATTCGTTTTTGAAATGATGGGGCGACTGGTTGAATTTGTTCAACTTCTTGAAGATTAGTTCTTTAATCTGATATCAGGCGCTGAATTACAAGAATGCTTATAGAATCTAGCAACCCTAATATTTTAACAAAATACAACAAGAAAGCTAAAATAAAATCAAATTAAAAATTAATAAAATTGCAGACATGTTAAGACGACCCTCCGTATTTATTTATCAAATCTAAAATTAGGTCACATAACACAACCACACTTAACAGTTCATCCACACATGATAAATATAGTTTTACTCGATGTCGTATGTGCGCATGCGTGTTTGCTTGTTTGCACACGACACTACTTAAGAGAATGATGTTATCATCGTCGTGAAAAAGACATTGATCGAACAGCCGGCAGTGATGTAGTCACATTTTCTTATAATAATTTGCTATTTCTTGCGCACATCTACAGGCGAGCGGGCTTCCATTTCTTGATATGCTCTCTCTTATACCAAGCCTGACATCTTATTGGATGAAATTTGCCCTCATTTACGACTGTTCACTCGCTCCGAAAGCGTCAGGAGTTGCGTGTACAAAAATTAGCGAGAAGAAAATTCGATTTGCTTCCATCTTGATTTCGTAGCACGTTATTTAGCGAATACAAACCAAGAAACAGAAATTCAGCAAGAAAAAAAAAAAAAAAAAAAAAGAGAAAAGAAAACCAAAAATGGAATGAAAAGCCCAACGAAATCTAACACGCAAAAAGCTAAGAAACAATCGTCAGATGCGTTCGAGGCTTGAAGACGTTTTCACTAATTGTCATAAATTAGGTTACCTTTATCTAAGCAGTAAACATTATCAGAACAGATGCAACAGTTTTCGGATTCCTTCTTTCCTTCTTTTCCTACAACTTTCTTCTGTCTGTTCTTTGATCTTAACGTCATTCTTACTCTTATTTCGGGTTCATTCTCTCTCCTTGTTTTGATGTTTGATTTCTTCATTTCTATTTTAATTCGGTCATTACATCATTTTGTTGGATTGTGCTTTATGTATACCTTTCCATATATCTTTTCTTTCTTTCTTTCTTTCTTTCTTTCTTTCTTCTTTTTTATGTGTTATTTTTTTTTTCTTTGTCTTTTTCATAATTTTCTTTCTTTTTCTTCCTTTCCTTTTGGTGTGTCTTTCCTTGGATTTTATCATGTTTCTTTTTTTATTATTTTTTTCAACATTTCTTTCTTTCTTTCTTTCTTTCTTTCTTTCTTTCTTTCTTACTGGTGTTTCTTTCTTTCTTTCTTTCTTTCTTTCTTTCTTACTGGTGTTTCTTTCTTTCTTTCTTTCTTTCTTTCTTTCTTACTGGTGTTTCTTTCTTTTTTGGATTTTATCATATTTCTTTTTTCTTTGTTTTTTTTTCCATAATTTTCTTTCTTTCTTTCTTTCTTTCTTTCTTTCTTTGGATTTTATCATATTTCTTTTTTCTTTGTCTTTTTTCATAATTTTCTTTCTTTCTTCCTTTCCTTTTGGCGTTTCTTTCCTTGGATTTTATCATGTTTCTTTTTTTATTATTTTTTCAACATTTCTTTCTTTTTTTCTTTCTTTTTTCTTTCTTTCTTTTCTTTCTTGTGTTTCTTTCTTTCTTTCTTTCTTTCTTTCTTTCTTCTGGTGTTTCTTTCTTTCTTTCTTTTTACTGGTGTTTCTTTTTTCTTTGGATTTTATTTATTTTTTTTCTTTGTTTTTTTTTTTAATTTTCTTTCTTTCTATCTATCTTTCTTTCTTTCTTTCTTTCTTTCTTTCTTTGGATTTTATCATATTTCTTTTTTCTTTGTCTTTTTTTCATAATTTTCTTTCTTTCTTCCTTTCCTTCTGGTGTTTCTTTCTTTGGATTTTATCATGTTTCTTTTTTCATGATTTCTTTCTTTCTTTCTTTCTTTCTTTCTTTCTTTCTTTCTTTCTTTCTTTCTTTCTTTCTTGCTTCGTTCAGTATTTCTTTTCTTTTTTATATTCCCTTTTGTCCAGCAGGGTTTTATTATTTCTTTTCTTTGGTCATTTTCCTTATGATTTTTTCTTTTATTTTGTAGAATTTTTTTTGTCCTTCCTTTCTTTTCTTTTCTTTTCTTTTACTGTCCAGCAGTACTTTCTTTCTTTCTTTCTTTCTTTCTTTCTTTCTTTCTTTCTTTCTTTCTGCAGTATATATTTTGTCCTTCCTTCAGGCTTTCTTTTTCTTTTTTTTGTAACTGTACATCAGGATTTTATTCTTTCTTTCTTTCTTTCTTTCTTTCTTTCTTTCTTTCTTTCTTTCTTTCTTTCTTATGTATTTTACCTTCTTCCCTTCTGCATTTTTCATTTTTATCCTTCTTTAAGTCTTTTTTTTTTAATTCTTTCTGTCCAGCACTTTTATTCTGTCTTTCTTTCTTTCTTTCTTTCTTTCTTTTCTCGGATTTTTCTTCTTCACGTTGTTTTTTCATCATTTTTTAAGCTTATTTCTTTTTTAATTCTCCTTTTTATAGTTCTTACCCTTTTTTACCCTCACACTGTCCTTCTTTCCTTTCTTATTAAACCATTACCTTTTCATTTTCCTTTTTTTTTTTTTAGTTTTCTTTCATTCTTCTTCCTATCATTCATTTCCCCCTTTTTTTATACTCACCGGTCTTAAATCACTTCTTTCCTCCTGTCAGTATTTCATTCACGCTTTCGTCTTTTATAGATTCATCCTTCCAGCAAATAACCACACTTTATTTTTACCCTTCTGTCTGACTTCCTTCCATTATTAAGTCCTTCCGTGTTTCATTTTTCTCTCTTTCGGATGCTTTTTTGATTCATCTCCCTCCTTGGTCATGCCTTCTGCATACGTTTTAACGCTTTCAATATCCATCTTCATTTCAGTCACTATAGCATACAAGACTAACTTTTTCCGGTTGTACCAACGAGATAGTTCTGATTATAACAGACGCCTATTTGTGCCCGCTCGTAATAATTCTAAATTTGTCCTTAATGAGACTAAGTCTTTGTTCACTGAAAGAATGAGGGACCGTATAGCCTCTAACAAGTTTGATACTCGTAAATACTGGTAGCTCTATAATAAGTGTGCTGAATAAAGATATACTTCATACTTCGTCTTTTTACTCAATTTGAGATGTTACCATCTTCTGTTGATAAAGCAGAATGCTTTGCTTGTAAATTATCTTCCAGTATTATTGTTGACTCATTTGTAGTATGTTTCCTGATTTTCTACACAGAGCTGAATCTCTGCCGTGTGGTTTGTATATGTTGTGGCCTTGTTAGGGCCAGAAATAAAGACACAAAGAGAGGATTGAGTTAAACAAGTATATTAACAGAAACAGTAATACAAACATATACAAACGAGAGTGTTACAGCAAGAATGTTCGGTCGGACTGTCAGAGCTGACTGCTTGAAACTCCTGTCTACAAAAGGCAGTACCTGCTCCTATTTATAGCTGCGTACGTGGGTAAATTAACATAACACCCCCTCCTAAGTATTCTTAAGGGTCCTCGTCACCAAGTTGTTGTGGCCTTGTGAGGGCCAGAAATAAAGATACAAAGAGAGGAATTGAGTTAAATATATTAACAGAAACATGTAATATAAAACATATACAAACGAGAGTGTTACAGCAAGAATGTTCGGTCCGATTGTCAGAGCTGACTGCTGGAAACTTCACCCTCCAAAAGGCAGTACCACAAGAGTATATAACTTCATCCATGATTTCTGCTGACATATCTAAACTGAATCCCCACAAAGCAGGCGGACTTTCTGGGTACCCCTGTAACATTCCTAAAGAAATTTACTCCTGAAATTGCTCCTATTCTCTATAAACGCTAAATAAATTCCTTGCTTTCCTGGTTGTCGAAAAACCTCTTTTGTAGTTCCCGTTTCTAAGAACTCAAATGAACCAACTGGTCTTTCTAAGGACCTATTAGTCTTCTGCGTTTTTGATAAATCCTAGAAGCTTCGAACTGGTTAAGGAATCCACCTCGAAGGGTCTCTTCCTGACAAACAATATGCGTTTAACTTCTCCAGGTCAACTGCGTGTATATTAACAGTTATTGATAAAAAAATATTACAAGCTTTAGATAAAAATGGTGAAGCCTGGACTGTTGCTTTAGATATCTCGCAACCCTTTGACAAAATAAATTAAAAAAAAATAAAACCCCTAGAATATCATTTCGTTATATCTTGGTCTTTTTGTTCAATCAAGTCACTTGTATTTTATTTCGCATTTTCTTTTTAGATACTAATATTTCCTTTGGTTTACGGCCACAACACGTTGAAACACCCGTTCTCGTACGATCACCGAAGTTAAGCAACGTCGAGCCTGGTCAGTACCTAGATTGGTGACTGCTTGTACTATGTACTGTAAGTTTGGATGTGTGTGTGGTGTAATGAGTAATGACTCATACTTGAAAGTCGGAGCGCCGAGTTCGAATTCCAGTCGGTTTATTATATAAACTTACGCGCAAATAACCTTAGGAAAGGTATGAAGGCACCTATTCTCCCACCCAACTATGGGTTACTTAATAAGACTTGTGTCAGTAAAACGTTATTATCTTCAAAATATTTTTACAAACTAAAAACATTTTCTGGCTTTAAATAAGTTGGTAAAAGGTTGATAAGCCGAAAAAATAAATCAATCAATTTTTTTTCTCATCACATTTAGTTATTTTTAAAAAAATTATCTTCAGCTGGTTACTTCTTCATTCTATCTTCAAGTTTTCATCCTTTTTATATCTACTATTCTTTCTTCTTTCCTTCATTTTTCAGGTATTTTCGATTTTTTACTATCTTTCCTTCCTTCCTTCCTTCCTTCCTTCCTTCCTTTCAACTATATCTTAATGAATGAATGAATGAATTTAATTGCCAGTATTTCTTACTTCCTTTCTTTCCTTCTCCCTTACTTTCTATCAATTTTCTTCTTCTTTCTCTTCAAGTCTTTCTTTTTCAGCTCCTTAACCCATTTTTGTTTTTAACGTCTCTTAGATTCTTCTCTTTCCTTCTTTCATTATCGAAATTACTTCTTTCTTCCACTCTTCAATTGCAACCACATTTCATTCTTCTTCCACCTCCATGTTGGGATTCTTTCTTTTTTCCCCTTTTCTAATACTTTCCCTTCCTTCCTTCCTTCCTTCCTTCCTTCCTTCCTTCCTTCCTTCCTTCCCCTTCACTTCCTTTCTCTTTCCTTTCCCTTCCTTCCCTTTCCTACCCACCCTTCCTCTTCCCCTTTCCCTTTCCTTCCTTCCTTCCTTCCTTCCTTCCTTTCCCTTCACTTCCTTCCTTTTTCTTCCCTTCCTGCCTTCCTTCATTACTTCCTCCCACTTCATTTCCTTCCTTCCTTCCTTCCTTCCTTCCTTCCTTCCTTCCTTCCTTCCTTCCCCTTCACTTCCTGTCTCTTCCTTCCTTCCTCCCCTTCACTTCCTTTCTCTTCCCTTTCTTCCTTCCTCCCCCTTTCCTTCCTTCATTTCCTTTCCTTCTTCCTTTTCCTTCCTTCCTTCCTTCCTTCCTTCCTTCCTTCCTTCCTTCCTTCCTTCCTTCCTTCCTTCCTCTTCCTTTATTCCTTCCTTCCTTTCCCTGCACTTCATTCCTTTTCCTTCCTTCCTTCCTTCCTTCCTTCCTTCCTTCCTTCCTTCCTTCCTTCCCCTTCACTTCCTTCCTTCCTTTCTCTTCCCTTTCTTCCTTCCTCCCCTTTTTTCCTTCCTTCCTTCCTTCCTTCCTTCCTTCCTTCCTTCCTTCCTTCCCGTTCCTTCCTTCCTTCCTTCCTTCCTCATCCCTTTCTTCCTTCCTTCCATTCCCTTCACTTCCTCCCTTCCTTCCTTTTCTTTCCGTCCTCCCCTTTTATTTCCTCCTTCCTTTCCCTTCCTTGCTTCCTTCCTTCCTCCCTCTTCACTTCCTTCCTTTCTCTTCCCTTTCTTCCTTCCTTCCCTTTTCCTTCCTTCCTTTCCCTTCCTTCCTTCCTTCCCCTTTCCTACCTTCCTTCCATTCCTTCCTTCGTTCCTTCCTTCCTTCCTCTTCCTTTTCTTCCTTCCTTCCTTTCCCTTCACTTCCTACCTTTTCCTTCCTTCGTTCCTTCCTTCGTTCCTTCCTTCCTTCCTTCCTTCCTTCCTTCCTCTTCCCTTTCTTCCTTCCTCCCTTTTCCTTCCTTCCTTCCTTCCTTCCTTTCCCTTCACTTCCTTCCTTCCTTCCTCTTCCCTTTCTTCCTTCCTTCCTTTCCCTTCACTTCCTCCCTTCCTTCCTTTTCTTTCCTTCCTCTCCTTTTCCTTCCTTCCTTCCTTTCCCTTCCATTCCTTCCTTCCTTCCTTCCCCTTCACTTCCTTCCTTCCTTCCTTTCTATTCCCTTTCTTCCTTCCTCCCCTTTTCCTTCCTTCCTTCCTTCCTTCCTTCCTTCCCGTTCACTTCCTTCCTTCCTTCCTTCCTTCCTTCTTTCCTTCCTCATCCCTTTCTTCCTTCCTTCCTTTCCCTTCACTTCCTCCTTCCTTCCTTTTCCTTCCTTTCCCCCTTTTATTTCCTCCTTCCTTTCCCTTCCTTCCTTCCTTCCTTCCTTCCTTCCTTCCTTCCTTCCTTCCTTCCCCTTCACTTCCTTTCTCTTTCCTTTCCTTCCTTCCCCTTTCCTACCCACCCTTCCTCTTCCCCTTTCCTTTCCTTCCTTCCTTCCTTCCTTCCTTCCTTCCTTCCTTCCTTCCTTCCTTCCTTCCTTTCCCTTCACTTCCTTCCTTTTCTTCCCTTCCTGCCTTCCTTCATTACTTCCTCCACTTCATTTCCTTCCTTCCTTCCTTCCTTCCTTCCTTCCTTCCTTCCTTCCTTCCTTCACTTCCTGTCTCTTCCTTCCTTCCTCCCCTTCACTTCCTTTCTCTTCCATTTCTTCCTTCCTCCCCCTTTCCTTCCTTCCTTTCCCTTCCTTCCATTCCTTCCTTCCTTCCTTCCTTCCTTCCTCTTCCCTTTATTCCTTCCTTCCTTTCCCTGCACTTCATTCCTTTCCTTCCTTCCTTCCTTCCTTCCTTCCCCTTCACTTCCTTCCTTCCTTTCTCTTCCCTTTCTTCCATCCTTCCCGTTCACTTCCTTCCTTCCTTCCTTCCTCATCCCTTTCTTCCTTCCTTCCATTCCTTCACTTCCTCCCTTCCTTCCTTTTTTTTTTCCGTCCTCCTTTTATTGCCTCCTTCCTTTCCCTTCCTTCCTTCCTTCCTTCCTTCCTTCCTTCCTTCCTCCCTCTTCACTTCCTTCCTTTCTCTTCCCTTTCTTCCTTCCTTCCCTTTTCCTTCCTTCCTTTCCCTTCCTTCCTTCCTTCCCCTTTCCTACCTTCCTTCCATTCCTTCCTTCGTTCCTTCCTTCCTTCCTCTTCCTTTTCTTCCTTCCTTCCTTTCCTTCACTTCCTACCTTTTCCTTCCTTCGTTCCTTCCTTCCTTCCTTCCTTCCTTCCTTCCTTCCTTCCTCTTCCCTTTCTTCCTTCCTCCTTTTCCTTCCTTCCTTCCTTCCTTCCTTCCTTTCCCTTCACTTCCTTCCTTCCTTCCTCTTCCTTTCTTTCTTCCTTCCTTTCCCTTCACTTCCTCCCCTTCCTTCCTTTTCTTTCCTTCCTCTCCTTTTCCTTCCTTCCTTCCTTTTCCTTCATTCCTTCCTTCCTTCCTTCCCCTTCACTTCCTTCCTTCCTTTCTATTCCTTTCTTCCTTCCTCCCCTTTTCCTTCCTTCCTTCCTTCCTTCCTTCCCGTTCACTTCCTTCCTTCCTTCCTTCCTTCCTTCCTCTCTTCCTTCCTTCTTTCCTTTCTTCCTTCCTTCCTTTCCCTTCACTTCCTCCCTTCCTTCCTTTTCCTTCCTTCCTCCCCTTTTATTTCCTCCTTCCTTTCCCTTCCTTCCTTCCTTCCTTCCTTCCTTCCTTCCTTCCTTCCTTCCTTCGTCTTCACTTCCTTCTTTTCTCTTCCCTTCCTTCCTTCCTTCCTTCCTTCCTCCCTTCCTTCCTTCCCCTTTCCTACCTTCCTTGCACTTCCTTCCATTCCTTCCTTCCTTCCTTCCTTCCTTCCTTCCATTCCTTCCTTCCTTCCTTCACTTCTTTCCTTCCTTCCTTCCTTCCTTCCTTCCTTCCTTCCTTCCTTCTTCTTCCTTTTCTTCCTTCCTTCCTTTCCTTCACTTCCTACCTTTTCCTTCCTTCGTTCCTTCCTTCCTTCCTTCCTCTTCCCTTTCTTCCTTCCTCCCTTTTTCTTTCCTTCTTTCCTTCCTTCCTTCCTTCCCCTTCACTTCCTTCCTTCCTTTCTCTTCCCTTTCTTCCTTCCTCCCCTTCTCCTTCCTTCCTTCCTTTCCCTTCCATTCCTTCCTTCCTTCCTTCCTTCCTTCCTTCCTTCCTTCCTTCCTCTTCACTTCCTTCCTTTCTCTTTCCTTTCTTCCTTCCTCCCCTTTTCCTTCCTTCCTTCCTTCCTTCCTTCCTTCTTTCCTTCCTTCCTTCCTCCCCCTACACTTATTTTCTCTTCCTTTCTTCCTTCCTCCCCCTTTCCTTCTTTCCCTCCCCTACACTTATTTTCTCTTCCTTTCTTCCTTCCTCCCCCTTTCCTTCCTTCCTTCCTTCCTTCCTTCCTTCCTTCCTTCCTTCCTTTCCCTTCACTTCCTTCCTTTTTACTTTCCTTCCTTCCTTCCTTCCTTTTTCTTTCCTTCCTTCCTTCCTTCCTTCCTTCCTTCCTTCCTTCCTTCCTTCCTCCCCCTTTCCTTCCTTCCTTCCTTCCTTCCTTCCTTCCTCCCCTTCCTTCCTTCCCCTTCCTTCCTTCCTTCCTTCCTTCCTTCCTTCCTTCCTTCCTCTTCCCTTTCTACCTTCATTCCTTTCCCTTCACTTCCTTCCTTTTTACTTCCCTTCCTTCCTTCCTTCCTTCCTTTTCTTCCCTTCCTTCCTTCCTTCCTTCCTTCCTTCCTTCCTTCCTTCCTCTTCCCTTTCTACCTTCCTTCCTTTCCCTTCACTTCCTTCCTTTTTACTTCCCTTCCTTCCTTCCTTCCTTCCTTCCTTCCTTCCTTCCTTCCTTCCTTCCTTTCTCTTCCCTTTCTTTCTTCCTCCCCCCTCCTTCCTTCCTTACTTCCTTCCTTTTGTTCCTTCCTTCCTTACTTTTCAAATCATTTCTTATTTATTACTCTCCTTTCTTTCTTTATGAAAATCATTTTTCTATCTTATTCTTTCCTTCATCCCTGCCTATCACTTTAAATTATTTTCCTTCCTTCATTTCTTCCTTGGTTCGTTCCTTCCCTTATTTTAAGGTCTTGCTCTTTCTTTCTTATCATTCTTCCATTTTCCTTTATCATTCACTGCTCACCTTCTCTCAGTCAGCCTTCGTCTATTTTAAAGGTTCCCAACAGAATAGAATCTGAACATATATCTATGAATGTTAATTATTAATAAGATGATATCGACAAGATAGGCTCAGTCGTGTTGTTAATGTTGGCATTTCTATAGGCCATCAACTGAGTTTGATGGAATTCTTATTGCGAAAAGTAAACGTCTGACTCACAAATAATCAAACTCGGGAAATGAAAGGCCTAGAGGCTGTAAGCATAACTGTTTTGCTCGAGGCTATCTCTATTCAACTCGTACAGTACTTCATCGAATTAGCGTTCAATATCGACATATTTAACACTACATTTGTGGCAAGACAATGAAATTCGACGAAGGTCGAGAGACATTCTGAATGTTTCTCGATCTGGTGGATACTGTAACATGGCTATTTAATTTGTTGCTGATCACGAGGTAGGCACGTAACGTCTGAAATAGATAAAAGTAAGTATTTGTTAAGTTTAATGTTTTTACGTGAGTTTCTGTGTTGTTTATTATTTTGCAGACCCGAGCTTTCATTTTTTTTTATTTTAAATCGGTTTCACCCAATGTAACGCAGAAAAGCCACTAAGTCACAATAGTTTACTGGGTGCAGAAGAATTAGAAAGAGAAACATTAATAATGAGCGGGATGAGAAAAGAGTAATCAGGAGGTCAGCAGATAGTGACTGACATTGCACTTAGATTTTTGCAGATTAAAGTTGCCGGTAAAGCCGGAAGCGAGCTCCACAAGTGGGAAGTAGGAGAGAAAAAAATAACAGTTAGCAGAGAACTTACGGCTACATCTAGTCAGCTCAACTGAGCACTGATGAGATCTTGACGCCAGTCTAATGCTGCGCTTAAATTACAAATCTCTGCTATTTACAGAAATGTGGCACAAAGCCAAAATGGGGAATGGGAAAAGGACGGTCTTGTTCTGTCTTAATGTTAGACTTAACTAGCCACAAACGCTGGCTCAAACATACAACAATATTCCTTACACCACAACAACGCATTCTTACTTAACTTTCTTACTACACCCACCATAATACCTCATTGTCTCTATGAAAATCTAACCTAGTCTCCATATGTACAATTCATTATCTGTAGGAGGAGGGAATAAAACAACAAATTTGAAAATCTATCCCCAATGAATATTTATAAAAATGTACAAAACAATAGTACCATAGTAAAGAGCGATATTTATTATGTTTTCCACAGAAATGTGGCACAAGGCCGAAAAGGGGATTGGGGAAAGGACGGTCTTGTTCTGTCTTAACTATAACTTAGCTAGCCGCAAACACTGACCCAATCGTACGAACAATATTCCTTACACCAAAACAACACATTCATACGTACCTTTCTTACTACAACCACCATAATACCTCTTTGTCTCTATGAAAATAAAGAGCTCATTCGAACAATTACCATGAAAGTATTTATAGAAAGACACAGAGAGGCAACTTTACGTCAGTTGGAAACTGACTGAAGTCGAGCTGCCAGATCAGGGTCAATAATATTGCTGATTCTTCTTTATGAGTCTTCTTTGAGCTCAAAGTAAAATAGCAGGGGCACCGGACCATATGTGGCAGCAATATTCTAAACATGGATGAATGGTTGACTTATAAGTATGTAAGATTGTCTAGTACGACACAGTGAATCAACTTTCTTAGCAGCTGAACTAGCAATGAATTCAATATAATCTTTCCATTTCATGTCAACTGAGAACATTACCCAGAGAAGGCGCAATGGGTCACTTTCCTGAGGGTTAACATCAGCCACGCTGGCAGAAAGGGGTCTGTCTCAGATGATTAATGGAGAGGAACTTAGCTTTGGAGGCGTTGAAATTAACAACCCATCTTTTCCCCACCAAAGAAAAAACGCTTGAATCCAATAGAATCAGAAAAATGCTTTTGTTATTCTCAAGGTATTCAAGTGTGCTTAAAGCACACAATAAAATCACTTGCCACAAGGAGATTCTCAGAGCTATTTACAGTTGTCTGATAATCTTTTGGTCATCTCTCTACAGAAGAGAGAATGGTGAGAGATGTTTTAATTTAGTGAATATTAATACTGTTCCTGATGTTATGATAACTAAGTTGGTCATTATAGTTTATGTTAATATTGACAAATATGATAGTGCTGACAATAATATGATAGTATTGAAGACAGTGACGAGAAGGTCGAGGAATATGATAGTGTTGACAATAGTGACGATAACATTGTCAATATTGTTGAAGAATATGATAGTGTGGACAATAGTGATGATAATAAACGAAAGTGTTGAAAAATAAACGTTTGAACGATAGTATTGATCAATATGATAGTGGTGATGATAGTAACGACAGTGTTTATAATAGTGTTGAATAATATAATAGTGTTGTCGATAGTGACGATGAAGTTGACGATAGTGTTGAATAATATCATAGTGTTGACGATAGTGACGATAATTAAACACAGTGATGAAGAATATAGCAGTAAGTATGATAGAGCTGATGAATATGACAGAGTTGCTGATGGTGTTATAGAATATGATAATATTTATGATAATAAAGATAGCTGACGATAGTGCTGACGAATAGTGACGATAGTTAACAATAGTGTTCAAACGTGTTACGGTGTTGACGATAGTGACAATAGGATTGATGAATATGATAATGTTGAAGAATATAATATTGTTGACGATAGTGTTGATGAATATGGTATTGTAGACGGCAGCGTTGAAGATTATGATAATGTTGACAATAGTAGCAACAGCTGACGATATGTTTGAAGTATATGGTATTGTTGAAGATAGTGACGATAATCTGGATAATCCTGTTGTAGAATGTGATAGCGTTGACAATAGGGACAATAATTGACAATAGTGTTGATGAATATGATAATGTTGACAATAGTAACGATAGTGTCGATGAGAGTGATGCTGAATAGGATAATGTTGACGATAGCATTGGCCAGAGTTTTGAAGTATATCACTGTGTTGATGATAGTGACGATAGCATTTATGATAATGTTGATGATATTAATTCGATATTTAATCATGGGGAATATCATGCTTATATGATATTTATTATGTTATATTTATATTATGATGTTTATGTGATATTGAATATTATGTCTAGAACAGTTAATACAATAGTTATGACATGAATATGATAATGCTGAAGATAGTGTTTATGATTGCAGATGGGGAGCGATCTCTTAATCTTGGGGTACATAGCAATTTGTTTGGTTGCTGGATAAAATGAACAGTTTTTTTTTGGTTGACTTCGTCTAAATGTATCTTAGCTTGCTGTGAATATAAAATAATGTGATTTATGCATAAATAAATACATCGCGTCGTAAGGAGTTTGATCCTCACACTAATTCACACACACTTGTGTGAGCTGAACTTAAAAAATATATTCGGTTTTGTCCATTTTATTATTATTATTATTATTATTATTATTATTATTATTCCCTTTGCTTTCTTGTGTGTACACATTTCCCGCCCAGAGACATACGGTTAGAAATGGCATCATAACATTTTCTACTGCCAAAAAATCCCCAAAAAAAAAAAAAACCCCAACATATTTTACATAGACAAAGTCCTTCGTAAGGTGTGGGCTGTACTCGTGAGAACAAATTTTTTTGTATTTCTTACCAATTTAATTTAATTTCTTCAATTAGTCTACTGGAATCTTTTCCAACCAAGGAAGGGAATAGAGAAAGGAAAGGAATAAACCATTAACTATCTTTCGGAGATATCATTTGGTTTTGGGAAAAACTCCTGTTTTATGTTCAGACTTATCCATGATAAGAGTTTGTTGCCTGGACAGACTGTGGCGATGGAAGCACGTAGGCATTGAGAAGACAAAGAGATTCACTGATCAACCCCGATGATTATCTGGCGGAAATCTCGATTGATAAAGTCCAGGTGACATTCTGTTAAGATAGAGATTAGGGACCACACCACGAGTCGTGAGAGGTCTGCTCGGGGAAGAAAAAGAAAGAAGAAAAAAAAGGGAAGATAATTTTTTTTTCTTTGAGTGATAATTGCAAACACCCACGCTGCTGAGCGTTCATTGGATGAAGGGTGGCGTTAGCGGTAGGCGAAGGTAAATTATGAAGAAGGAGGGGAGGCCTGTTGACGCCCCTGAAGGGATTGGTGTGAGATGCCACTGTGAGAGAGAGGGGAAACCTGTTGACGCCCTCTGAGGGGATTGGGTGAGGTATCAATATGAGAAAGGAAGAATTTGGGAGGACGATTCCCTTAAAGTAGAAAGTAATGGACTTCCAAAAATAGAAAGTAATAAATTTTCCTGTCCGAAAACAAAGAAAATCCTTATTGTGGATTTAGAATTATCAAGGAACCTCAAACCCTGACAGGCCCACCCTGGTTTTGGTCGGCGTCCATATAAGCAGAGTCGCTGCGAGTGAACGGCAGTAAGACAGGCAAGCAGTTGAGTTGGAATTTGAGTCAGAGAGAAGTTTGTTGTAGTTGAGCTGTGAGCTCTGAGACCCGCCTCGCAGGAAGCTGACTGAAGATCCACGCATCACGACCTCAACTTCTAACCAAGAACAATTTATTTTTGAAGAACGACTTAGACTCACACCACTAAAACAAGTTTTACGAATATCCCCTGAAGATACACCAAAAACCAGTTTCTTAACAACTTAAGATGTTAAGACTCGCCTAACAAACACAAAGTGTCACGAATCCATATAAGTGGGTTGGGAGAAAGATGCAGTCCTGTATTCAGCAACCAGATATAAAATATTGTTATTCTTTTTTTAACAAATTTGAACTTTTCGAGTTGTTACTTTATTTTCTTTTACATATACTTGTGCGGTGTTACCTTTGCTC